GGGAAGACAGAGGCTTTTCACTTTTCTCACCATAGTCAGGCGTTTATCACGCTCTACGAACGTCCAATTTTTATGCTCTGATTGGTCAAAATTTGACAGGTGAGTTCATGCAGAAAATTTATACAGCATCTTGAACCTTGTTTACTGTGACAGCTGAAGCTGACAGAGTATTTTGTCAACTTGTGATGTTTTTTACTGTCTTTTCCCACTGGATGCTTAAAATGAAATACAGCTGCTATCAACATGGCTGGTTTGTTTATTGAATTTTTGGTTGGGAAATAAGCCGGTTGTCAAAGTTGGAAATCCGATTTCGGATGCATCGTTTTCGTTTTTCACCTTGCTGGATGCGGGGTTGAAAAGTCCCTGAAGCGATTCTGGCCTTACTTGATAGCTTTCAAGAGCTACATCTCGAATGGTAAGCCTGAGTAATTATTGTATACAGTGTTAGCCTGCAGTGCAGGCGTTTTCTTGAGCGCGCAATTTGCTCGCGAAAGCGCCATGTTGAAACTTCTCGAAGAGAGGAGGAAATGGGGCGGGTCAAAGGGAGCCGGGAGGGGGCGGGAAGAGACAAGCAGTGCAGGCGTTTTCTTGAGCGCGCAATTTGTTTTAAAGCTTTTATATGTGACCCTCCACAGGAATTTGATGCTAAAGGTGCAAGCACGCTCACGACACGCTTGCACGACACTCTTAGCGTGCCGTAGATCACGGATATGCGCATATTAAATTGAAAAAACAAAGACGGACACACTTGCCTTTGTTTTGGTAAATTTAACACGCTAGACCTTTTGTCTTTTTGTAGCGTGCCATATGTCACGGTAAGTGTGCGAATTATAGCACGCTTAGCGTGCAATTTGGGTAAGACACGCTGAACACACTTGATTACTAAAGCTACTAAGATAATAAAAATGGCTTGGGTTTTCAGCGGATTTAATCAGCATCGATAATTGGTCGAAGTGAATCAAATACACCAATTGAGACTGTTTTGTAATTTGATAGTAACCGTAGCCATTTGAAAATCACCACTTAATGGTCGTCTGTAGCCTGGAATTAACGCGAGATCAGTGTAAACCAATTCCTCCGACTGTGGGCTGTTGACCGGAATCGCAAAGAGACCTGCTATCGCATGCGAGGTACTGAAGTTATGTCGCCTGAAAATTATAGTTATGCCGCCGGAATCTTTATTAGCATTAATGCACAGAGAAATGAAGGTGAATAAATTAGTTTAATATTATTTCTTTAAGCCATGCTGAGACGAACGAAGGTAATTAAATCGGAGAAACAAAAACTGCCTAGAATATTCTATAGGTTGAGGAAGTCTAAACATTTGTAGATGACCGTTCCATGCATGTACAATCAGTTCGAAGCTTATCTAATAAATTCTTTACGATTTTCTGAAGTTTAATTTTTTTCCATTTCACTCCCCAGGTTAAGCTATTTTTCGTAGAGAAAGGAATCCTAAAATTTTCGGCACCGAAAATACGATAAAATTCTCACTTCCCTAAAACTTTCAATTGGAAGCCAAATTTTTCGGGAAAATAATGCTGAAGCCCTTGTTATTTCGAAAAGACTGAAACTGTCTTGGCTTGCGTGGACCTATTTTTTTCAGAGAGAGAATTGGCCAACGGCAACACGGCAGGAACTTTTGGCTTTGAAAAGCTATAATGAAGAAAAGATGCGATTTCTGTCATCAAACTTGCGCCATAAGTTTGATTGGATTTTGTAGACTATTTCTTTAGAAATTAGTTTCTGTGTAAAAATTTGGTTGTAGATATAAAAGCGACTGTTTTTTTTATGTCTTATCTTAAATTCCCCTTTGTTTTAATTTAGTCCTCAAGGCACTACCAAGTTTCAGGAGGGTAACAAATCCACTCGTGCATCAACGTAAAATGGGCATTTAAAAGACACACTAAACTAGCGCACATAATCAAAAATTTTTTTCGCGCCGCTGAAATAATAGTCTGCTAAACAGCCGTTTTCAGTGGAAGGAGGTTGCGTGACGAAACTAAAACGGCTGTGCAGCAGATTACTTTATTTAAGACACTTAAATAATTGTAGGCCGTAATGCTTCTGATGACGCTAAATCGGTCGCCGTAACTTCATAGCGCGAATGTTTGTTTAAATGGTTCTAAAACAGACGGCAGCCACAAGAAAGACAACAGGATGATAACGGAATTTGGACAATAAGACTGAAGCATACGCGATGTAATATTTCAAGAAGAACAAATTTACATACATTATTTTAATACCGGTTTCACTTTTTGTGTTATTGCCGGCCGGATCAATTAAGCAACATTGAAACCGTTTTGGAATTTTGGTACATCTAGAAAAGCAGGCTGGTTTTCATTTGATCACTATGATCCTTGCAATCGCTAAAAAATGAATACAATTTAGTGATCCTGGCTCTTGATGATTTCTATTTGATCGCTGCGATTGCTGCGATCGGAGAGAAAGTGAGAATTCAGGCTTTCTAGTGACAAAGACTCTTTTAACGTTTACACAAAATTTAATTCCTTTCAATTCTATTGGAAACGTGTCGAAGCAGTCATTTGTAAAGACCTTTCTTGAAACTAAAACCAATGCTAATAAAGTTCTACCCTTAAATCCAGTAGGTCCCACCGTTCACTGTTTATACTTTTCAAGCGAAAAACTTTTTCTTTCTCGATAGTTACCAAAAAAGGGTGCCGTTCATAATCATTTACGGTTCCTTTTTGTAGAGGACATTCATTTAGCTTATAGATAACACGCCTTGCGTGATTTGCGCACACTGAAAGCATGTTGTGCTTTTTCGCACGGAGCTTTTGTTTGAAAACTTTAACACGCCCTTTTGTTCGACTTGCTCACGCTTAATTGTCTCAAGCGTGTCCCCTGAAACAAAAGAAATTTCTAATGAGGCAAGATTGCAAGCGTGCTAAAGCGTGTTAAAATAAATTCTTTTGTTTTAAAGTGAAAGCCGTGTCATGCGCGTGCTTTCACCTTTAGCATTAAAATCCTGTGGAGGGTCACATATTATCTTTTGCTTGTTTTTTTTAAGAAAAATAATAAAAGGATCTTTATAAGAAGAATGATATTCTTTATAGTCGACATTAGTTACATATTTTCCATGAATTTTTTTTTCCACACATCTTTCTTCAAATTTTTTTTGTTGATATCTGGTTAAAAAAGTAATACTTGGGACGTAATTATTTATTTTTTTAGTAAATAAATTTACTAATTCTTCATGTTGAGATGGAGATATATTTTTTATATTTAATAACTTGTACATTATTTATATTATAATATTTATAATTTTTTTTCATTGGGTTCCCCACTAAGTTTTACTTTAAGCACGAAGCAATAGTTTTCCACTTTTCTGTTCGATTTCTGCCTCTCGTTCGTGAAGTATTAGAGCGTAAATATTATAATCAGCGTTTGGATTAGCAGATAACTCATAATGAAACGCCAATTTTGTTACTCCATCTTTTATATCCATTTTTTGTTTTGTTAGGTCAAAGTAAACAAATGGGAACAGAGACTCAAAATTTGATCTATTGAGAAGTGTTCCATCTTGAAAGTCATTATTTGCGTAAATATAGCCCATTACTTCTCTGAAAACTCTTGCTAGATCTGTAGATAGCTTAAAGTGAATATCGGGGTACTCATTTCCATTTCCAACCTCGAGATAACAGTGAGATATATTAGCATTGTTTGCATGACAAATTAAAAGTATTGTATAAAAATGGATTTGCTGTTTGTGAATCAACATTGGCTGTGTTAATTGCAAAAACAAAGACATGGCGAGGTTTTGAGATAGCATTTGTAATTCTGAAATGACCTGTTTGCTGTTGAGAGTTATTTGATCGCTCAACTACTTCATTGAGGTACACCCATTTGTAGGGCTTAAGATAATTTTCCATGTATAGTTTTTGTCCTTCTGAGTTAAGTGTTATCCTTGGAACAAATAGTTGAAATCTTGTTAGTATAACTCTACAATTGTTTCCTCCGGTTCGCCAGACAAGATATTGTTATCTGATTCTAGTTCAATATTCAATTCATTTTTTTGTATTTGGAAGAAGTTTGTCCTCCAATGATTCAAACAAAGAATATCTGTTGAGGGGAATTTCACATCGTACTGTTGCTGATTAGCCTAGTAATACTTTTGTTATTGCAAAACCTTTGTTATAATTAGCTTCAACATCATCTATCATTAATCCTGCATCATCAGCGTTATTAGCTAAATTTCGTCTGTGAGTTACTTGTCTTTTTGTGTATTTATTTCTTTCAGCATGTTTTGATGTATCAAGATAATAAAATTCATTTGTGGCAACACTATCAACATAAGATGGATTATACTCAAGCAAATTCTTAATATTTACAATATGATTAGCATAATTACAACTGTAAACGTCTCTACCATTTGCCAGGATGGATAACTTTTCTATGAGAGAACTACTTCCATTTACTATTCCCATTTGATCCCCATCAGCATCTAAATTAGCCCCAGCAGCAAGCTGATTAACTTTGAAATCTACTGAAAATCGCGCGTTATACCAATCAAATGGAGTAGCCTCACCTGTGTTATCAGTAACAAATCTATGACCTGTTTTAGTTTGGTGAACACCATTTCCAGGTGCTGCTAAAGCCTGTTCAAGGTCAAAAACAACATCTTCATATCGCTCAAGATATTTTGGATTTCTAAAAGACTTCATTTTAATAATTAGATTATATAATTTTCCCTCCTGATAAGATTGATAGTACTCTATTGTTGATGTCTTGTTGATTTTTACTAGATAGCATTTTTACTATTTTATCACCGGCTTTTTTAGAGGTTGTTTTGGGTGGAAGTGGAGGTGGTGCAAATTTTACCTGTTTTTTTGTCTTTTTTCCAAATAAAGATTTAACTTTATAAGTTATTCCTTCTCCAAAAATGTAACGCTCACCGCTCCAAATGTGTTGTCTTGTAAACTTCCCTGTATCAGGATTATTATTTTTTTTAAACTCTGATTGACGTGCCATTTGTATAATTACACTATATTATTAACTGGATCAGTATGGCGAAGCAACAGCGTCATAAACCAATCAATACCGTTGAGGTCAACAGGTTTTCCAAGTGAATCAGTTATGTATACTCTCATTTCAGAAATAGTATTGTATTGCCCTGTGAGTGACTCACAGGGCAATACAACTCCCTTCTCGGTTCGAAAGTAAATGGAAAACTCCTCGTAAGATTATCAGTTGGAATAACAGCAATTGTGTTTGTATTTACTCCATTTACAACGGATTCTTTTATAGCTGTTGTGTTTATGTTTAATGAGTCAATTGAATTTGTAATATTTGGTAGTTTTGTTCCATACTCTGTTTTAGTCACCAGTTTCTTTTCAAATCCGATGAGATCTCCAAAATCTGTTCCCCTTAGATCAAGGTGGTAGTCACCACTAAGTGATACCAGTACTCGATATGTAGAGAGAATAAAAGTCAAATTGATTGAATAAACCTTTTCTCCTTTGGAGTTTGTTGAGTAATGAGACTTTTGATCCATGTATTGATGGATGTAATCATTTATATCAGAGTAGGAATACATTCCATCTGTAAAAGTAATTGTATGCCATGTTGTTCCATCATGGGTGTATTTGATTGTATTGTTGCCGTAATCACTTCTGATGTTGTACCAAGAGTAAGTCATCGACAACCTGTCGAGGGCGAGAAAATGCCTAAATTCTGGATCAAGTTTCAAAGGTGGATTGAATTTAACTATAAAATCATGGGGTTTGTTTTTTCCTATAGCCTCTCGTTTAACAGAGGAAATATGAATAGCGCTTTCATTCATTTATCTTATGTCTATATAGTTTCTTAAAAGCGTATTAAGTTTGTTATTATTAATAACTCCGAGATCTCTAAGTCGATGAGGTATTTGAATATATTCAGACAATACACCATTGTTTCCTGCAGCAAGAGACCCACCTAGTAATTCAAGTCTCTTTAGTAACTCTTTGGGGGAGTAGTAAATGGGGCTCGCGCCCCAAATACCCTGGCCTACTTTATAGTTAATTGAATTAAAATAACTATTCATTGTATTTCTATATTTTTTTAGTATACCTACTGATTCTTTTAATTTATTAGTTCCAGCTACATACTCTGAAGATGGATTTTTATTATTTTTTTCTACCTACAATTCGGCCATTTAACAATCTTATATTTTCGTTTAAGTTTGTACGTATTTGCTCTAAATCTTGAATACTAGTTTCATTAAATTCACTTGGTCTTGGATACTCATAATTTTGTAAAAAAACAAGATCACTACCAACAAAGTTTTTCTCTAAATTACCTGATGGTTTAGGCACAGGTACCCAGTCACTATCCCAGGGGTCTCCTTCTTTATCTGGTGGTGGCATTGGCACCCAATCATTGAGTCTGGTAATTCTTTTATATCAGCTAATCTCTCATATTGTTCAGCTAATTTTTTAATAGCTTTATTTTTATTTATAGCTTCTTCTGTAAGAGCCAACTGATTTTTAAGCATTTCCTGATTTGGAGTGAAAATATTTTTCTTTTTGGGGTCCTCTGGTTTTTCAAAATGGGAAATCAGAGGTTTAAAAGTCTCACTAAATCCTTCTCTCTGATTCTCTTTTTCCCAGGTGGTTTCTTTTATTCCACGTCTCACCTGTTTAGCAAGATCATCGGATTCAATCTTATTTTTAGCCCAAGTTTTGATTACGTTAATATCCATTTTTATTTAATTATTATATAAATGGAAATACCTAATTATGATACTGATGAATTAGATAAAAAATACAAACAATTATTTCCCTTTATGCCATCAGATACATTTCGAATGTTGATCTGTGGAAATACTGGAAGTGGTAAGACTAATTTGTTGTACCACATGTTACTTAAGCCACTGTTGTACTATGATGAGATTTATCTCTATGCGCGTAATCTAGAGCAGGATAAATACAAACGGCTAATACAAAAGATGAGAGAGTTGAGTATGAAACTGGGTTATGATATACTTCATGTGAGTAATGATGAAATAACCCCAGTGACAGAAATGGATTATGAAGACAACCAAAAACTTGTGATATTTGATGACTATGTTTGTGATAAAAATCAGAGACAAATCATTGATTATTTCAATCAAGGTAGACATAAGAATTGCTCGGTGATTTTATCTAAGTCAATCATTTTACAAAACTCCAAAGGATATTCGACTGAATTGTCCTCACCACTGCCTGTACGAATTTCCATCATCGAGGGAGTCCAATAGGATATCATCTGAGTTAGGAGTTGAAAAAGAGACGTATAGAACGGCAACAAGAAAACCGTTTACATTTCTTTATGTTGATAAACCAAAAAAAGTCATTGCAAAAAAACTTTACAGATTATATACGCAATAATTAAAATGGGTATATTTAACGAACATTCACATAATAATCCATTTGCTAGGGGATTCCAAGGCGCTCCAGGAGTTGGATTTAGTCTTACCTCAGATGGAGATTATGATATGGTGGGTAAAAAACTAACAAATGTTGGTGCACCTAAATTTAATAGTGATGCAGCAACTAAAAAGTATGTTGATGATAATAACAGTAGTTTTCCTACGGTATTATCCACAAATCTGGTAGTTGATTCCAACATTAGTATGAAAGACACCTACCGTATTTTAAACCTTAAATCACCATTAGACGCAAATGAACCAGCAACAAAACAATACGCAGATACACGTTTTCTTAACAAAGATGGTTCTCATGCGATGACTGGTGATCTCGATATGGGTAATAATAAGATAAAAAATCTTATAAAACCAACTGAAGATAGTGATGCTGCGACTAAGTTATATGTTGATGAGTCTAAAGTCGATGGTAGTGTATTTTTAAAACTAGATGGAACAAGAAAAATGACTGGATCACTAGATATGAATAATAATCCTATAGGAAATCTTCCATTACCTAGTGGGGATAAACAACCAGTAACACTATATTATGGTGATTTATCATACCTTAAAAGAGATGGATCAAATACAATGAATAACAATCTAAACATGGCAACAAAAAGATATTTAAGTTAACTACACCAACTGATCACGAAGATGCTGCAAACAAAAAATATGTAGATGATAAATTATCAATCAATGGTGGCGCTCTGGCTAATTATTTAAAAAAAGATGGAACTACTCTATTAACTGGTGAACTAAATGTTAACAATAATAAAATAATAAATTTATCTACACCAACTTCTGATACAGATGCTACAAACAAAGAATATGTAGATTATTTAAATCATGAAGTTAACATACAACCAAGTCATTATAAAGATCAGTTTAGTTATCTTATGTCAAGTTCAAATCAATGGACGGATGAAATAGATGGTGGAAATAGTTTTAATATAACAAGGATAGGTGATTTACCACCAAACAAAGGAAACTTTCATGACTATAACCACAAAGTTCTTTACACGACTATAATTAAGAATTCCCAAGGTGGATATAAGTATAAGATGGGAATTAATTTTTACAGACTAAACGCAAATGCCGACTATACCCTTTGCCTGGAAATACTCAACACTGATTATCAGCTGTGGCATAAGTCTCAAATAACTGTGGATAAAGGAACTTCGACAGGATTAACAATTGGAAATGCAGGGGCGGATCCAGGATTTTTTTTTAGGAGGGGGTACACTCGTCTCTTGCTCTACTTCAACACCAATAAACCACATAGTTTTTTTTTTTTTTTTTTTTAG